GCGCCCGTCACCCGACCTCTCACCGCGTGGTCCGACAGCCTCCGCCTCTCAGAAAACTATGGTTGTCGGCCCGCCCTCATTTTATAGCATTTACCAGCGTCGAGGGCCCATGCCAATCTTCTCTATATCGCTCCAATTTTAACGAATGTCCCGAAGGTCCCCCGCGTGGCAGTGCCCTACGACACCTTGGAGAAATCACCCGGCCCCTCTAAGTCCGACACTGGCCCGCATTCCAACAGTTCAGGGGTGTAACCACTGAGCTAGGCTTTTGGGTGCCTGCCACACCCACGGCACCGCGCCCTAGGCAAAACGGTGTCGGGCGCGGCTCCGGCGTAGCTACGAAAACCGTTTGTAATTGCACTTCAGGCGACCCCGCAAATACAACACACCCCCACGCACTCCTATTGCAGTCTCGCGTCCCAAAACGGGAAGCGATAACAAAGGGACCAAGAACAGTAAACAAAAGGGAAATAAAATAAACTAAGTGCAAACTTCGGGGAACCGCAGGGTTGCTGGCACCTCGCTACCCCGCGGATTGGGCCCGCCGCCGCACCCATAAACAAAACCGCGGGGGATAGCCCCACAGGGCCCTCAACCCCTCAGGTTTCGCTCCACGTTGCTCTGCTGCTGCTGCGCCGACGCCCGCTGGCCTCGATCCCCGAACCTCCGCCGTGTCAACCCAGTATCATAACCTATAGGGCTAAGCCCAAGCCTGAGACCAATATCCGCGGAGCGCCATATAGGGTGGTGCGGCGTTGCGCTCAGGGCCAGGGAAATTAGCCTGCGCCTCATCTCTGCCTACAACCTGTCTCTTATACACATCTAGATGTGTATAAGAGACAGCCACAGGGCCCTCAACCCCTCAGGTTTCGCTCCACGTTGCTCTGCTGCTGCTGCGCCGACGCCCGCTGGCCTCGATCCCCGAACCTCCGCCGTGTCAACCCAGTATCATAACCTATAGGGCTAAGCCCAAGCCTGAGACCAATATCCGCGGAGCGCCATATAGGGTGGTGCGGCGTTGCGCTCAGGGCCAGGGAAATTAGCCTGCGCCTCATCTCTGCCTACAACCGTGTGCGCGGCCGCCCAGCGTCTGCGCCGACTTACCAAGCTATACCACAGCCGCCACTCGCGCCACTCCGCGTGCCAAGACCTACCGCAGTCGCACTGTCGCCTTCGTCTCCGCCGTCGAGATCGTCTTCCGTACGCACGAGTAACTCAATCAAACGTGCCAACAACAGAAAAATATCCTTAAATCCTAGTCTAATAAAGAATAAACAAAAATAAAAAATAAAGATAAAAATAGAAACGAACCGACTGGCGTCCACGCCGGCTCTATAGTCAACGATAGAAACGGAATCACGCGCGCCTCAAACCTGCGCGCCCACACACCCTTTGTTTCAGTCAACCATCCGGCCATCGTAACCGCACAGACGCAATCGCGCCTCGCGCGGTATACTTAACTTTAGACCAAACTCGTTTTTTGGTCATTTGCAAAAACGAGGGCGGATACCCTTGTAAGGGTATTCGCGCCGACAGCTTACCGGACCACATTAAGCGACGTCCCCGTCGCTTCGCAAAATCGAAAAGTTGTCAGATTACCCAAGATGCTGACAAAAGAGGAACCAATCCGATTAGCCGACAAACACAGGGTAGAGGCCTCCATCAAACCATGCCTCCACAACTATATGGTGCCAGGACAATGACAGCATAAGTTCCAAAGGCCTTCCCAATCATCCTCTCCCCGGTCCTAGACAACCTTCGATTTCTCGTTGGGTGTCCCTAGTCATGGCCAAGACTAGGGACACGAGCCCTAACCGAGACCTTTGAAGGCACTCTCGCTTCCTTCTCAGAAAATCTATCGCAATCAAATACACATATGTATATATGTATACTTAATATTCACTCAGGTCTTTTCTGCAGTCTAATACAGAAAGGCTATGTCTTCATCTTGGTCCACCATAGCCTGGCTGATCGGACCAGGACTACGGCCCACCGCATTGTTATTTTAGCGGCAGTACCCTCGTTGGTTATGCAACGATAGGTCTTTTCCTGATAAACATTCAATCAGGATTTCCCAAAAAACTTAACCTTCACTATCCCACGGGGTAATTTCCCTGGGGCGGGCAACTCCCCTTAAACTCTTACTCCGCGGTCCCGCAGGCAGGTTGCGCCGGTTAGCAGCCATCCACTGGGGTTACGCCCTAGAGGTGTTAATCTTTACCGCTTAGCTTGGTATTCCTCCAATATGTCCCAGAACGAGCACAAGTGGTTAGACGGAGCGTCGCAAAACCAATCACAGGCCCACCGCGAGATTACGCAGGGGTCTGAAGGCATTTACCAGCCCTCCCATGAAAGGCATGGCATCCTTCGCACAATCACAAACAAAATCACCGCTAGGTCCACAAGGCCGTGACCCCTGACCTGATCAGAGCCAGCAGCCACCCATCCTGAGACATTTTTCGCCCTGCACTCTTTTGCGACTTTCTCAAAAATCTCAAGCAAACATGGCCCCTTTTTGTCAAACTTTATAAACTCAAACACTGCTTACCATGCCCTTAGATTCATTAACCACCTTTCACACGAAGGAGGTCTCGCTCAATAGGTCTCCCAGCCGTCCCTCTCTTCTTAGGATGAGCTATCACACGACCCTTTTTAAAACACCCCTTTTTTTGGGGATGAGTCTTCCGATAAATAACATTTTCACCTTCCTTAATCCGAAGGGGTCTCAATCATAAAACAACTCAACCATAGAACAACTCAAACTGAGAGGCCTACTTGTGGGTCCTCTCCACAACTCAACCACGAACCAACTCAACTGAGGGGCCTGCTTGTGGGCCCTCTTTGCAACTCAACCGTAAAACATCCGACATGGTAAGTATTCGAGTCTCAGAGGCTCGCAAAATCCCTTAGGATTCTTACATTTTTGTCACGCAACAAACTGCACTGCCTCTCCTTATACTCGGCCCTATCACCCGCCCGTGGGCAGATCGCACGAGTATACCGGAGAGTAGACAGTTCACTCTCATTCATTCTCACAAAATCCACACAAAATCACCATTCATCAGGATAAAGTCCACACATGTGAGAGTGATTGTGATCGTCATATACAAAAGATAATCTCGGATAAGGCCTCAACTCAATACATACACAGGGGTACAATACCCCAGCTCAAACGCGAGCCAAATGTCTCGAATTACATATATACACTCGGAGTTGAACAATCTCAACTCAAATCGTCACTAGTATCACACAATAACTAAATGCGGTTTCCCTGACCAAAGCTATAGCTAAAACAGTTTGATCACAACGTAGCCATATTTCTCAATCCGAGAGACCCAAGTAATACAGGACATATCCACATATCCAAAGAAAGGTAAGGCTAGAAGTCGCCCATACACCAGTCCTGCAACTTCCTCCCTCGGCTAGATGGCATATCTCCCCCACGCTTAGGTTTTTTCCCAAACCTCTCCTACCTCTCACACCTATACGCCTATCTAGGCCTAGGCACGACGTAGGTCTCATATCTTCTTCTTTCGATCAATAGACTTAATGAAACAGATCCCTACTTCGTAACAATGCCCTCAGGGTCACTCCGTGCTCCATCTACCTGAGGCATTCCAATAACATGATGTGAGGCAGACCTAACATTTTCCACCTATACAGTTGTTCTATTGGGACCCCCCCGGTCTATAACTCAGGCCACCTTACCGGACCATCATTACGAAAATCCCTTCCCTCTGTACGCTGTGCCTATCTGCAGCAGCTATATAATTAGGATTTCCCGCTTATACTTACAGTCTACTTAAATTTCTAGACCCTTTTCCCACAAACCCTTACTCTTTACGACTACTTTCCCGAGGCCGTGCTCGATGTTGCATCTCGCCACAAAGCCTCCTTCCGTATTCCCCCTAGGATGGTTGGGTCGATACACTTCCCGGCCCTGTCGAAAACGCCTCCCTCAATATTAGTCCTTATCAGACCGCTTGCCTCATCGACCCTTCGTTCCCGACAAAACTTCATTATGTGCCCTTCTTTGGCACAATGTCTGCAAGTATTTTTTTCCCAACTTGCTTTCTTCCCTCCAGAGCCATATTTGCCGCCTCCGCATTTCCCCTTTCCGTGCCCCTCATCCCTACAACCCTTTTCAACTTTTCTCTTTTGACCCCCTCCAAGCCAGAGGTACCCACTGTGGCAGTATCAGGAGTAAGCGCAAAGGCCAAACGCGAGGCTACAGTCTATTTGGACGAAATGGAAGGAGTGCCACTAGATAAGTTTTACATTATAGGGAGTGGGACAATTGACACCATTCTCAACGATGAGATAGTTCTCCAAGGAGTGATTGATAATAGCAGTGAAGTTGTCATCATAGACGAGGAGCTCGATGTGCGATTAGGATTTAACTTGGACAGGTCCTACCTGTTTGAGATAGAAACAGCCGATGAACGAAAGCAGAAGATCTCTGGGGTCTGTCATAAGGCGGTCATAGAGGTCGAAGGTTGGCGCGTACGTATGCCTATCTTCGCGGTCAGGGACTGCAGTTCGGAGCTACTACTAGGACGCACGTGGCTGAGCCACGTTCATGCGGTTACTATAGAGCGACTGGATGAAAGTCAGATGTTTTTTATTAAGCGTCCAGATGGTGGCCGAATTATGATAGAGATGGTCGAGCCTCGAGATCCGAGGAACAGAGCGGCCTTGGCGACTGCTGGCACACGCAAGCCAGCCACCCTCGCGAGTCGCTCGCTGCGATTCCGCGAGAAGAAGTATGGGACACCTCTCACCAAGGAAGAAGGGCGCATACTGGAAGTCGAGGACTTAGGTGATCGCGTCCTCGTGGGTGGAAACTCCTATCCGAAGGCTGAAGATGAGGAATTCGGAGGTATGACCTCTGTGTCTTTTTTAAGGACGCAGCCCCCTGCGGGGGGCGACCAAAGAGGTACAAGACAGTAGCTCAAAAGGTTAAGCCGGCTACAGTAGCTCGAGAGAGATCAACATTAGACGGGATATCTGAAGAAGAGATTGCCCAAGAGATTAAAGAAAGGAAGAAGAGAGAGGCGCAACGGCTAACAGAGGTGAGGATAGCGGAGATGGACATAGGAGATGGAAATTTGACAGAACAGGAGAAGGAGCGCGTGCTGGAGGTTCTTAAGACATGTAATAATGCTATAGCCTTTAGCGATGTAGAAAAAGGAAGGATCGATCCTAGGTATGCCAAACCTGTCAGAATCTATACGATTCCACATACTCAATGGAATGACGCAGAGTGGAAGTTTGCTCAGAAGGAGAAGGAAGAAGTAATCTCGTTCCTAAAAGAGAAGATGGCGTCGCATGTCGCGGAGCCATCTGATAGCGCTTACGCGAATAGGTGGTTCTTCTTACGGAAGCCTAATGGAAAAATCCGGTGGATTCAAGATCTTCAGAAGGTTAATGCGGTTACCATCCGGGATGTTGGGTCCATACCACATACTGATATATTAGCAGAGGGAGCAGCAGGCAGATCGATCTACTCCGTCTGTGATTTATTCTCGGGTTATGATGAGATACCTTCGGATCCTAGAAATAGACACCTTACTGCCATGCATACGCCTCTGGGACTAGTGCATGTGATGGTTGTGCCGATGGGTTGGACCAATGGGGTTGTGGTCTTCCAAAGAGCTATGGTAGTTGTTCTGAAAGACTTCATTCCTGATAAAGTTGAAGTCTTTTTTGACGACTTTCCGATAAAAGGGTCCGTACTGAAAGACGAGACGGAGGTCGCTCCTGATGTCAGGAGATTCGTGCAGCAGCACTTAATAAACATCTACGCGGTCCTGGAACAACTAGATGACGTTAATCTAACGGTCAGTGGGACGAAGAATCAGTGGGCAGTTTCGTCGATTAAGATTTTAGGGTTCATATGTGATTCGAGAGGACGTCGAGCAGACCCAGCGAAACTAGATAAACACTTGAACTGACCAACTCCGTTGCATAGCGCTACCGAAGTCCGCCAATTTCTAGGAGTTGTAGGCTACTTGCGGATCTTCATACGTGGGTACGCGGAGAAGGCAGAGCCTCTACGAATTCTCCTTAGGAAAACTGAGCGATTCCACTAGGATTCTCCTCAGGAGCTCGCGGTATTAACCCTCAAGGAAGAGTTTAAAAAAGGGGGATGAATCCTAGGTGTACCATTCTTCGAGGATAAAACCAACAGACCCTTCATAGTGTCTACGCATGCTGGGCCATGTTCAGTTGGAGGACTGCTTTCTCAGAAGGACGCTGATGGTAAGGAGAGGCCGCTGAGATTCGAGAGTCGTACGCTTAACACCGCTGAACGCAACTATATTCAATTCAAGAAGGAGGTGTTAGCCGTGTTACGGTGCTTATACGCCTTTAGGCACTACATATACGGGAGACGATTCGTCATGCGAGTAGATCCTACCGCCGTGGCGTCGGTTTTACTGAAGGACTTCAGTCTGACTGACCCCACTATTGCGTGATGGTTGATCAGGATTCAACTCTACGAGTATACTGTAGAGAGGATCTCGGGTACGAAAAATGCGGTAGCCGATGAACTTTCACGAATTCCAATTGAGGCGGAGCACCCGATAGTTGCGGCGGCACTGACCATGACTGAGCCTAGACGAACGGATCGCTTCCTAGTCTACCTTTATGAAGGTAAGTACTGAACGATTGGATTGCATTTGTCAGGGGAGAAGAGTTCGAATTCAGATATCAGAAGATAGACAGCTCAATACTGCCTTAGATCTGGACATTTATTCTGCAGACCCATGGGGTCATGGATGCCACTGCGAGTGGTCTGTGATCCAGAGGAGAAGCAAGCGGTGGTAGTGGAGCTTCACGACGGAGTGGTCGGTGGACATAGAGGAGTTAAAGAGACGTATGAGAAGGTGCGCAGACTATACTAGTGGGAAGGTCAGTATATGGACGTAGAAAAGTATTGTACGACCTGTGAGGAATGTCAGAAGAGAGGAGCCGCTTCACCCTTCCTATCCTACTAGACCGGGCGAAAAAGTGCATATTGATCTAGTGAAGATGTCGAAAGGGGTAGGAAACATGAATTATGTCGTGAACATCAGGGATGACTTCACTGGATTTGTCGACCGGAAACCTATCAGAACAAAGGCAGACAAGGAAGTAAAGATATTTGTTCTGGAGTATCTATCTAGGTATGGGTGTGTTAGTAGGATCGTAATGGATAGAGGAGCGGAGTTTCTAGCTGATGAGGTCCAAAGCGTGTTTAAGAAAGCAGGAGTTAGAATCTTCATAGCTACTGCCTACCACCCTCAATCTAACTCACCTATAGAGCGAGGTCACCAATCCTTGATAGCCTCATTGTCCAAGTGGTGTAGAGGGAAAGATAGCGACTGGCCGAAATATTTTCGATACGTGATATGGGCAGATAATGTCACAGTCTCATCTAGCACGGGATACCCGCCTTACACTCTATGGTTTGGGAGGCACTGCCCTCTGCCCATAGTTTCATGTCGATAGTTGGACCACAGTTGACTGGGCCGACAATATGTCGTGAGAGGAGCTTTTGGCGGCCCGAACGAGGCTAATAGCCTACGGATTAGAGGACAATCTCATAACCGCGGCCAGTCAATTGGCGGTGGAAAGAGAAAAAGGCAAGGAAAGATGTATTAGAAAGGGGAAGATGACTGTGGGTGATATGATACTTCTCTACGATACAGCATTAGAGAGGATATGGTCGGAAAAATTGGCAAACAGATGGATGAGACCCTACCGCGTAGTCGGTGCGCTCGGCTGGGGAGCATATATGATTCCTGAATTAGACGGGTCTAAATGGAAGAATCTTGTGGCAGGAGTTAGGCTGAAGTTGTTTAGGCCAAGGGAAAACCCTACTCCTGTGTCAGCGTTGTCAGACCCTATAGAGAAGGGGAAAGCGAAGGTGACAGATGAAGGACCGTCGAGACGGTTCGAGGTAGGTGAGAGTTCGCAGAAGAGAAAGACAGTAGAGACCAGGAAAGTGAAAGGTTTGACGCTGGGAGAGAAAAGAAAATGGTTTTTTGTGCTACGGAGACCTAAATGTAGAGTCCGCATTAGACAAGGTGGGGTATCTACGGCACTGCCACTCCAACGAAGGAAGAAGCTGAAAAATATCCCTATATCGAAACCCAAGCGACCACGGCGTAAGAGAGGCGAGAAACATCCTCTCAGTCCTAGAGTCCCCGAAAAACCTAAGCACAAGTCAAAAAGGTGCAGACATAAAAGACGCGCACGTGTGGTCGCTCTAAATCTTATATGATTCGTCTGATCGAAACGGAGCAGGCTCGACGGGGCATTGAGAACAGGTCCGGGCTTATTTGTCAGGCGGCCGCAACCCAGTCGGCCACCTGAAATACGCAGGATTGGGCCTCGGGATAAGCGCCTATGGGAGAATCAGCAGGCACTTTCATCTGAGTCGTCGGAAGAAATTAGGGGTCGGAAAGGTATCCCTAACCCGCCCCCCCCCCGTCAATTGTTAGAACAAACCCTTCGGATCAACATAATGGGCAGCCACGCCTATCGCGCCTAGAGCCTACCAATTTTCATCCATTCCGAGGCTTTTCCCGAAGCGGCCGGTCGCGATACAGAGATGTGGTATTAGGCCTCGGCACGCCCTTTTTACACTAAGCAATTGTTGGGGGAATGAACCCTCAATTTTTATTAAATTCTGACAACAAAATTAAATTGAGAAATTGATGAAATTGTCCTCAATTTTTACAAATTCTAATAACAGCATTAAAAATGAGTAAAATAAAAATAAATAGTGAAAGGAAGAAAAACAAAAGATTATTTATTATTTGATTAATTATTGAAGGGAGTCATTTTTTATGAGATTTTGCTAAAAATCATTTATTTACCTACTGTCCGCCGATCCGTATGAGTTCCCTTGATTTTTCCGATTGACCTGATTACTACCACCGCGATGGTCGAGTGTTGTTGAGTGAGCGGGGTTGGTGTTGGGTCACGGCGATATGGTTTGAGGCAACAGGGCCCACTTTGGTATCGGCATGAGTAATCTGCAGCATGGTATTGTACTCTGTACTAGACAGCCTCGGTTACCGGTTCGGTGCTGGGCCAGTTTTTTGCAAGACGGTACATTTATATCTGGCACAGTGCTGGTTCGGAACAGGGGCGGTACAGTCACATTGGTTCGGGACAGGTTCGGTACTATCACGACACATTACTGCACAGTATGGTATTCGACATCGAGCTGGTATGGTAACGGCACAGGCTGTTGAGATTCGGGGGGGTTACTTCAGGTTCGACACTGGTATGGTAGTTGTACAGGCTGCTGCAGTTCGAAACAGCAATGTCATGATCGGTACTTTTTGCTTTGGTATGGACACTGATTTGGTATTGCGACGGTGCAACACAGTACGGGCTGCTGATACGAATCATTTCTGTATCACCAAGTTTCGGGTATCCACGTTGGCCCTAAAAAACCCACTTTTCGTTTGAATCGGCTTGCGGGGCTCGATTTGAGTTTACTGGGCTTGCAGCAGCATACCCTGCTGGTACCACTGAACTTACATGGGGTTGCGCTGGTACTGCCACTATCCCGGGTCTGAGAACCTGAATTTCCAGGAACCTTCGATCCGCTGGGGCTCTCGACCAGGGCGGCAGTTCGCATATAGCAGACTAGTTGACAAGGGGGGGACAGATTCCGAGTATGCACGGAGGGAGCGTGCCTGGCGTATGCCGCCCACAGTACAACCCGATTCGGAGTGAGGCAAGAGAGGTTTACGAGGGGGAGAGAAGGGGGATGCGACCAGGGACTGATGAGTCGGGCGTTCACGGCTCTCTCATGGACTGAGGCAGGGAGAGAAAGTGCATACGGGGGCAACGAGGGGGACATGTGTTAGGCGTACGCCTCGCACTGGTCAAGGTTAGGCGCAACACCTCCTGAAGCGATCTCACGGGGCGGGGTCCACGCGTCCGTGGAAGTGATTAACGTTCGGAGCTTGGTCGCATGATCAGGTGAGACTGCTGACGAGAGTTTTTTCGTGGGAACTCGTAACCGCGCTCATCCGAACGCTAAGCGGGCAGATGAGCATGTGGAAGAGGTAATTGGAGGATGCGAAGGTGCTTTTTATTGGGTAGTACAACACGTAAGCTCTGCGGGTACGAGCAGGATGCTCCTGTTCGTGAAAAGGGGCTAAGCATGCTGTGATGAAGCGATTCCAGACGAGGAAAACGATTTGGCTACAGGAGGCGGATTACGTGCATGACGAAGATTCAGAGGGTGGTGGCGACTGAGAGTTGAAACGCACTGTGTTCGCAGCGTCGAACGCGGGAGGGGAAAAGTCTCGGCTCTTAGCTGAATCACTAGGAGGGAGATCATCAGCAGTGGACTGATCTGGGCACGCGCACAAGCGCACATTCACGCTCACCATGTGACTTGGGACCTGTAGCCGAAAGGGACAACTGCAGGGCAAGAACTGACGAGACTCAAGATGCCGGTATAAGGGGGTTGCGGGAAAGAAACGAGCTGGGACATCGCAGGATTCCGTTGAGAAAAGATAAGGTGAGACGGTTCGTGTGAGTGAGCGAGTTAGAGAGTGGAAGAACGAGAGTCGGGTCGAGCACACGAAGAAGGTAGACCACGGGCTTGAATCATCTGGCCAGGTAAGCCAGCAGATTCAAAGTACGAGCTGGTACGAATCAGAAGGTGTGGCCGCCGAAATGAGAGCATGAGTGAGTGAACGGGAAAGTGGGCTAATGACCGAGCGAGTGAGCGGGAAAGTGAGTGAACGAGTAAGCGAACGAGATAGTGATAGAGCGATTGAGTGAGATGATGGGTAGAAGAGCGAGCGAGAGAGAGATCAGAAGAGGATAAAAACGAGAACCGTAGAGGGGGAAAGTAAATGCGAGTGGGGATAACACAATAACACTGATAATAATAATAATAATAATAACTATCACTGATTGATCTTACTGTTATTATTATTACTATTATTATTACAATTATTGCTCCTGCTAGCAGCGAAGGAGCGAACGGGGAAGGGCAGCGCCAGCCTGGGTTGACCAAAAATAAATGAGATCAGGCGTTTGGGAATGTCTAGGTGAGTGAGGGTGCTCATACAGGGGATGGGCGTAAGCGTGTAAATCAGGAAGTGCTCGATAAACTGTCAAGGCCCTGCAGTGTAATTAACACGTGCAAGAGGGAAAGGAATGATGCACTGTGAATGT